GTCATCTCCGCGTGGCTGGTGACCCAGCACAGAGGCAGATCCGTGGTGCCAGCCTCCCCCCAGTATCCATCCCTCTGCGCCTGTGCCAGAGAGCCACCAGGCTGGCTGGCACTGCGGGATGTGCTGTGCAGCAACTTGCGGGGACCAGACGGCGTTGCAGAGGCAGACTGCACACTGCAGGATGGGAGGGAAGCTGGCACCAGTGATGGGGACGCCAAGTTTGGCTTAGAAACTACTATCATTATGCACAAAAATAAGGCACAAGAGCTCAGTGGCTGGAGGGCATCTTCATACTGCTGGTGGATAAAGGCTCCTGAAGCAGCATCCACAGTGACGGTGTGATACAGGCTCAGGCTCTGCTCAGGATCAGCTCTACCATGAGCTTACGTGTACCAGGACCATATGCAGCAGCTCCTGCTCACTTGCAGTCGAGAGAGGAGCTGACAAAGGGAAAAGACCTACACTGGGAATTCACACACTGGTTTTGAAGACTTCCTCTTTGGGCAAACTGTTTTTTTCTTTTCCTTTTTTTGGGGGGGGCAGGGGAAGAAGAAAATTTGACCTTGGCTTGCTGTAAGTGAGAGTTACAGGAAAAGGCAAGCTTTTGCACTGCCAGCAGCCTTGACAGGCCCCAGGCTGCTCAATGGCTCCATGGAGCTTCAACTGTGATGGAGCTTTGATGGACGCCTTCCTGCCCCCCCCCCCCCAAAAAGGGGCAACATCCCCCTCGCCAATTCCCCCCCAGCCTGTCTCTCATTTCCATCCCTCACCCTTCTTTGGCTGCATGTTGCTTCAGCGTGTGGCTTGCTATCAGCACCAGGAGGGATTTTAAACTTCTCAAACATCACCGTTTATTTGAATTTTTCGTATTGGCAAAGCTATGCCTAGTGTTGTAGCCTAAAAGTGGGGCTGTGCATGGACACCATGGCAGCATCCTTCCTCTGAAACAGGCTCCTACTGGAACAAGGTCCACACTTGAGACCAAATTTATGGGTGACTGACACTGCTGTTGCCTGTAGCTTTGACGAAGATCAGCTATGCACAGCTGTTTTCTCTTGCACACCTCACTCTGGAGCATCCCAGCCTCTCTCCGGCCAAACCCACCTTCTCCCAGGCACCGCTCAGACCAGCCCCGCGGCCAGGTCACCCCACTGCTCAGGTGGCACGTGGTGCTGCCTCGCGCGGGAGCCGTGGGGCACAGGTGAGCAAAGGCTCGTGGCTGTTGCGGCAGCTCGCCTCCTCCCCGGTGAGTCACCGTGCCCCAGTATCAGTCGCCAGGGCTATTTCTGGTGGCCAGCCTGAAGCAGCACGAGTGTGCCCGTGGGACTGTAATGAGCCACTCCCAAGGTCCGGCTGGATTTTTTTGGGCGTTGCTGAGTTTGGCCAGCACCACACCATTTATAAAGGACTTGTTTTCCCCTCGCCCAAATGATTAGCTTTGGATGGTGACAGTTTTAGAAATGGACCTTGCTGAGTCTTTCCTGTAAGGAAAAGAAAAGGATGCTTGGGCTCCAAATAGTACTTTGGTGCTTGTTTGCTGGGAGTTTGCAAAGTCCTTCCTCCCTGGGCACGGGATGCAAAGCAAAGTGTAGGAAGCCAAGTCCTCGCCCCTGGTGTCTGAGCCTGCCTTGGAAGCAGCTTGTACAGCCTCAAGGGAAGGTGTTTCCAGCCATCCACGCACAGCACCGTGCAGCTCCCTACACCCCAGCCCTTCCCAACCAACCTGTTTGGTCTTCCCAGCTGTTGCAGGGGTCACACCTCCAGTGTGCCTTCCCCAGCTGCCTCTTTGCTTCTCCCATTTAGCCAGAAGGGCAACACACTGTGTTCCGCAAGGTCCCAACAAAGAGACTAGGGCTTGGCCAAGGGCCTCTCTCCCCATTCTCACCACCACCGCACACAGGGAGGGCCTGGCAAACTGCTCTGTACTCCTACTGCAGCTTCTTTCAAACTTCCATTTGGGTTAACAGGGAAGCTTATTTAACCTCCAGGCAATTACTTCTACTTCTTCCAATCACTCCTCCCAGTCCCTTCTGTCCACTGACATTTTTGCAGGATTAGAAAAACAAGGGCCTGAATTTAGAAGGAGTTAAGAAACCTGCAGAAACCAGGCGGTGAGTGAAACCCTCTTGCTTGCAGGAGGTGTGGGAGACAAGAGGCGGGCAGGGGGTGCAAAGAAGCAGCAGCTAGGAGAAAACTGGAAAAAAGGGACTTTGACTTCACCCCTATGTTGTTTCAAAGGCACGACCTAAACCCAGTCTTCCTTCACGAACAGAGTAGGGAGCTCAACATGTCTTCAAACGACCTGCAAACCTGCTGTAGGCAGCTTACACCAGGAAGCCCTGTGAAGGAGCACAGTGGTGGGCTCAGTCTCAGAGTCACAGGCTGATCTGAGGACAAGAAACCTGCTGAGCCCAGGAGGAGAAAAGGCACCTCTGGCTCCTGAATTTCACCAGTTACTGCGAGCAGTGGGGTTCTCCACACGCTTGTATCTTCCTTTGCAGCTAGCATGAGTCTCAGTATTTCCCCAAGAGAAAATGAAACTACAAACCAGAAATCAACACAGAGACAAACCATTTGCAAAATCCCACAGCTCAGTGCAGACCAGCCATCCCCCTGGGGCTTGTGCTGGCAGGGTTTTCCCACCATCCCTTTTCATTCCCTCCCCCTCCCCTCCAGCCTTGATTGCTCCAAGTACACAGCTGCTCAGGCAAGCAAATTAGAGAAGCAATCTTCCCCCTCCCAGGTTATTTCTAACCCAGTTCATTTCCCTGACCTTGTTCCCCAGGCGGTGGCACGAACAGGTGAACCTACACAATGCAGGGATCAACCACTGTGGGATATGCTTGAGGGATGTGATATACTGGGGATATGATGTATTGCTCTAGAGAGAAATCCCTGTTTAGCTGTAGCCTGAGGCTCACCTGAAAAATAGTCCTCAGCTATGAGAAAGCTCACAGAGCTAGCAGCAATGCCTGGTGTTCGGCATACCTGAACAGCTATTTGTTCACTGCGTACCAGTCCTCTGAAGTGGTATTTGTCATGAAGCCTCACACCCTTTAGACCTGTGGATGTGCCTATACAGAGCTATTGGTTCACTCAGCCAAACCTTACCACCTGTGTCTGGCAGTACATAAATTGTAATTACTTTGGATAACCTGGTCACTTATTACTTGCATTACTTGTGAAGATACGTAACAGCCATATACTAAGAACGAATAGTGAGCCTGTCCCTGTATGCAGATTTCCATGGTAAATCATTTAACTGGGTGGGGGAGAGGAGGATGGCATTAAAGAAAAAAATAAAAGAAGAAAAATCAGTGTAACATTTTTCAAGCAATGGTAAAAGCCCCCTAGCAGCCTGTAATTCCTACATGGAACTCATTGTTTAAGTATCTAGGCACTTGATAAGCATTTGCATAACATCTAGCCACTACCTGGTGGGGATAAACACCTTAATTTTATAGAAGGGAAACTGGGGAAGAGATTTTAAGTCCACCTTCAGTTACCTGAAAAGCTGCTTCCTACTAGTTCTGTGAATCTCATTAAAGATCAAAAGCCATCAGCAAAAGACCAGAAAATCGAACCCAGGTCTCTCAAGGCAAAGGTGAGCATCCAAACCATTAGGTCATGTTTTCTTTAAGTCAGCTACACTGAAAGTCTGATCCCTGAATATCCTGATCACTACAGCCAGGATAAATACGAAGAGGGCTCCCCTACACAGCACTCCTCAAAGCAGCTAGTCATCTAGAGATTTTGCACAAAGTACTGGAGCAGGTGGGTTATTCCCAGCAGGATTTGTTGCAGCAATTAACATCAGGACTGAAGCGCTGCATGTTGTACACAACCGCTGTGCAACATCCATGCAGTTGAGGACGAGTGTCGGGGTCTGAGAATGACATTTTGTCACAAACACTTGTTGTCTGTTACCAGAGTCCAAAATCCATCAACAATGATCTTCACTCAACTCCCCAGCAAGTGGAACAATGCATGTAGCGTACGTGGGCCATGGTAGGGGAGGTTGGCCCAAATACAGTCACAGCCCCACACCGTTTTCAAAGATGAAAGAACAGAGCGACCATGTCTCAAGGCACTGAGCTGGATTTATTCATTTGACCATATCAGTATCAAACTAGAAATCATCTGTTTAAGATCATGTGTTAGATAGGAGCAGCATTAAATAAGACATATGAAAAAGAGACTGTGCTTCAGAAAAGATTCAGTGTACAACATACACAGTATGCCATTTTAACACAAATGCTTACAAAGAGTCATCCTAAGCATCAAAGAGAGTTTTATAAAAGTTTACGTTCTCATCCCATGGGATGTACAGAACTATGCAGTTTACATAGTTTTACTATCATCCAAAACATCATGTTTCAAATGTACAAGGCACAGCAAGAACAATATGATTCCATTTCCATAGGAACATAAACACAGCTTGTCACTAATGACACGCTTTCCAAACCACAGCACTCACGGCAATTATACACGTGTACAATTTTAAAGTATTAAAAAGCAAGAGTCTGGAGCCTGCCCACTGTTACCAATAGGGAATAACATTTGCTCTACCCTTAAAAACTACCCAAAATATCCTTGCAGTAGCTGTAACATAGGAAGCAGGTAAAGTCGCTGCTGTGCTTTGTCAGGGCCAGCTTGCTGTGCTATTCCCAAAGCTAACCAATATAGCCAGTGAAGGATTCCCTAGGGACAGTGCCCTGCTTAGCTCTGACAGCCCAGGGAAGATGCAAAGTTAAAACGCATCTGTAACCAAGTGATGCTTTAGCTCCAGAGATAGCTGATAGAAATTAGCTCAGCTTAAGGGAGGCCCTGATTTCCATTAAGAATGACCAGAGACTGGCCAAGTGTCAAAGACAGAACAAGACTGAACCAGTCTTTGACTGGTTAAATCAAGGACTGTTTTTTTGGAAGGCTTTCTCTAAGGACAGCTCAGATAGACTGAATCTTACAGCCCACATGCTCGATTTTTTTTTTTTTTTGATGGCAGCATTTGCAAGCGTATATTACAAGTTTTATAAAAGTGCAAGGCCCAGCACAGGAAGATATCCTGGATTAAGACATTCCCAGCAGTGTTCTTTTTGCCGTCTTCTTGTTGGTCAACCAGCAGACGCACAAATATTGTTGCTTGGGATCAGCTTATCAGAGCCCCTAAGGGTTTAGCTTAATCATCTGTGCAATTAAACACTCTTCACATTTTACAGCCTACAATGGCAATATTTTTATGTACAAGTTTGAAAAATCAAGTCTTAAAATCAAGTTTTAAGAGGTAGAGGTCCATTTCTGACCTGCAGACATACAACGTTGAGTCAGTCGTATTCTAAGGCTGGTGGTCCCCTAACAATATTGAAGTAACCAGCTAGAGCTCCAAGATCTATGTAGAGTGATCTTTGCCTCTTTAGCAGGTCCGACTCTTCCATGCTCCCAGTACATAATGAGGAATCTAAAAAGGAAAGAGACAAAGCATGTCCTTATTGCACAGATAGCTACATTAGTTCAGTTCCATGGTTGCAGACATTACTGGAATAGTCAGCCTAATATTTGCTTTTATTTATCTGTGGTTTAGAAAGCTTCATTTTTAAGGACAATATAAAATAAACCTCATATAAAACAAAATAAAAGATACCAAATGAACCCACAACTCTAAGGTAAAGAAAGGTAAGCAGTCTGCTGCTGAAAACAGTAAGTGTGTTGAACTATTTCGAAAAACCCTCCATCAGCTGGGACAGCTAGGCAGAGCTTCCTTATCCTCTGAGCCATAGTGCTAAAGAAGAGTTGGTGCAAGAAAAAAACTCTGCTAGCTTTCTGCCAGTTGAGAATTCCCCTTCATTACAGGGGAATTTTCATCTAAACAGATGACATCCTCTTTGTGTCACTGGGTGTGACAATACAGAAAAATATGGGACCATCAGTCTTTTTTTTTTTTTCCTTTTAAATCAAGGTCTAAAGAAACCTTTGCAAAGGCAGAACTTCCCTGAATACTTGTGTAATGAGCGTCCTGGAATCCCAAGCACCTAAACTAAAGTTCCAGTTTAATGGTCAAGTATTTTTTCATCAAAAGAATTGATTCAGATGGCCCGAGCTGGTCAAAGGATTATGCACCCACAAGGAAAAATCCAGGAGCAATGCCCTTCTAGGAGCAAAGGCTGCGACTGATTTAAATGTTAAGTGGATTCGTTGCAACAATTACGCATTACAGCAAAACTCTGCATAGATATCTTTTCAAATACTTAGCTCAATCAAATAAACCACTTGTCTGGGGTCAGTCTGTAAATGCTTTTTGTCAGTAGCCTCCAAATGTATTTTAAAAGTACAAGAAAAGCATTTTGAAGCCTGTTAGCAGGTTGCTGGCACCAAATCTCCCTTGGTCTTGATATTATCTGAGGACACACTGAGTTTTCTAACTGCTCCATGTATTATCCTTCATAAAGCACTTATTAATGCACAAGGGAACTGTGTTCTATCCTAGAGTAATTTTTGTTTTTAAAACAAAGGGTTTGTAATGCTGACACTCAGCAACATTACAGTTACAGTTTTGTGTGTGTCTTTAAGAAAGCAAAAAGTGTTGGATTCAGTGGTGGTTGTTGGGACTTTTTTTTTTTGTTGTTTTGTTAACAAACACATCACTAGTATCAACAAAACATCTCTACTACTGTGGCAAAATAAGGCCATTTGGGACAGCAGCATATATTTAGTGAAGAAGTTCCCTGAATGACTGCCAGGGCTTTTACATGAGCCAGCCCTTCCAGAGCTGCAGAATTCAGGCTAAGTTCTTCCCCTGTTGAAGTCAATGGGCGTTTTACATAACACTTAATGAGCTCTGGGTCTGATCTCATCTGATTGGGATTTTTACTGGTCTCTTTCCAGAAGCTTTTTGAGTTTCATTTTGTTTCTAAACACTCACTCACACGAAGTTCTGACACAAAGTAAAATCTACAAAGTGCAAGGTAAGTAAGCCTGATACCATTACCTGTAATGTTTTCTGGCAACTGCAGCTCCTTCCTTGCGAGTAGTCTTTTCCTTTCAAACAATGCGGAGTCCAGACTCTGGCACCGTGGTTGGTCTTCTGGGGGTGGGTGTAAGGCTTCGTGTTTCAGTAAATCTGCTGCAGACAGCCTATGGTTAGGATTCCTTTCTAGAGCTGCTTCTAGCAACTCCCTCATGGAAGTGCTGCAGTCTTCAGCAATGTCCTCTAAGGGGGGAGCTTGCTTGTGTATCTGTTGGAATAAAAAAAGACCATTGAAACAGTTATTCCAAAAACAATGGAAGAGGAAGTCACAGATAACCACGAGTGGTCTGGGAATTCCCCACTTAGAACTCATAATCTCCCTGAGCTGGGCTGATCAATTAGAACAGAACATGTAACTGCACAAAATCCACCTTTTTTAAAATCAGATTTTATCATAAATTTAAAAACTTAAAGCAACTCCAATCAAGCCAAAAATCCGTTGCAATGTGAAGTCACCAGATTTCTGTACCACACTGGAAGAACCAGAGAATCAAATTTGCCAGGCTCCAATTTTTATCTGCAACTTCTAAGCAAAACAGACAAGTAGAACACAGATGGGCCTGTTTCAATCAAGTTCCATGCTGTTCTAACCCTGTCCTTGCAGTAAACCCAAGGCCTGTAAATTGTAACACAAACCACAGAGATAACTCCAGCTCAGCCTCTGTCTTCCCCTAAATGATCAAAACCCACTTCTTGCCTCCCCCCCCACCCCCCGAAACAAAAAGGATGATATCATCTCTCTGACAAATATTTTGATAGTTTTTATATGACTGGAGCTTTCCCAATAAGAGTACAGGAAACCCTTCAACTGAAACTGAGCTACAGCTTTGCTAAGGACACTTACAATATAGAGGTAGGATGGATATGCAGAACGAGGATATCTGTTCACCCAGGGCGGGATGCCGGTTTGCATATGAATAATAGTAGCTCCCATGCTGTAGATGTCCGCTTTTGTTGTGTGGCCTCTGCACAGGATAACTTCAGGGCTCATGTAAATCTGCAAAGAATAGTCAAAAAAAGATTAATCAATAGGGGAAGACAACAAGCAAAGGTGAATCGTGACATTTTGTGATCCAGGAAACCCCCCTCTGAAGGGATGCACCCACTAGTCGCTGCAGCCTAAAGACCAAAGCTGTTAGAGTCTGAGGTTCAAGCCATGGCTCTGCTTCCTTCAGCTGGGTAACAGGAACCTCATTCCTCCACAGCAAAAGGTACCTGAATTGCCAGTTTGCTTTGTCGGGCACTGCTGGGACTGCTGCATTCTGCTTGAACAACATGGGCGTGCACCAGGCTAAAGAGAGAGGGTGACCCCGCTGCTAGCCACCCAGCTGGGGGTAAGAGTTCACTCACTCCTCAAATCCCTGTTACATTGGACACTACACAACTCTTCTGGACAGAACTGGCAGATATACGCCTTCCTGTCTTCCTTACTCTTCTCCTCTCCCTCACTTATCCAATAACCTGCATGTTGGGGCATTATTCTAAGAAATAGGTTGGTGAGGAACAAGACAAGTCTAAGGCAAGGCATAAATTAAAAGCCAGGACTCTTACGTCCTTCTGTGTGCCCTTTCCCGCAGGCTACTCCAGAGCAGCTATTAAGGCAAGCATCCCTCTTCCATCCTCTTTTTAAACCAAAAATTCTCATATCTTTTAAACCAAAATACAGTTTCCATCCAAACATTTCACTGAAACGTTTGGATTTGTCAAGACTCTGAAGAAGGATCCGGTGGGAAGCTTCTGCCAGCTCCAGGCAACTCGGAGTGCAGCTGGAGCAGAACCAGACGGACAGGATGCAGGAGGCACACCCCGCTGCTGGCAGGAGCTGCCTGCACAGCTCTGCCACCGACACCAGCCGAGGCAGTAGGTTTCAACAGAACGTGGGCACAGCCCACAACACACTAGGTTAGCAAGCTGCCCTATTTGCTTCTGGTTTCTGCTTTTCCCTCACCCAATTTCCCTCTAAAGGAGCCAAACAGAATTTTAATTAGTTCAAGTCATCCTGCCACAAAGAATCACATTAAAAGCCATTAACTGACACAAGAGCAGGAAGTTAAGTCATCACCGCATGGTTTGACTACTTATTACCACAGACTGAGAACAGCTGTAGGGCTCACGCAAATGCCAAGGAATATTTCCCAGTAAATCACATACCGTATCTGCAAACAAAGCTTCAGATTGGAAGCCTGTGCAGAGGTAAAAAGGTGTCTACAGCTGCTACTTACTCCTATCCATTGCTTTCCTCAGGGCTAAGATAGAATAAGTGCGTCTGCACCCACCACCTTTAAGACTCATAACGAGCGAAGAACAGAATTTCTACTTTTGTAAAATAAAGTCACTAGCAAATACAGTACAACTTGAGTGAAACCTGTATAAAAAAAAAGCAGCTGCCTTCTTGAGGAAAAAAGGATGCTGGAACAGGAACATGTCTGCAGTTATAGTCAAAGTGTGAAAATGGTCAAGATGCACCTTGATTGCACAGGGCCAAAAAGCAAAAATGAGATGTGCACCCCAGCTGTGATTTCAGACTAATTTAGACTGGCCTAAGACTGTTGCCACCAAAGTAGGCAGCCCAAACCCCAGGTACCTTCTCATTCCCACTCCTTCCTACTGCTGGGCTGGCACTTGCCTGCCAGTCAGACCAGAGACACAACTCAGCTAAAAAACAGTCCTTCCCTTCGTGCTGTGCTAGTTTTAGTTTAGC